GATCCAAAATTCTCTCTACTCAGGCCATATAAATGAAATCTATGAATATGTACAGTTTTGGGCAATGATATCTACATTTTGTCTTTGAAAATGAAAGCCTAACAATGCCTAAATAATGAGATGAAAATCAAAAAAATAATCACCTTGTAGCTGAAGACCGTGTTCTGAATTAGGGCTTGATTCAAGTTGCTGTGATGATTTGGTCAGCTTCCTTAAGTTCCCAGGAAGCTAATGCAACCCTTAGTCAGAGCTATGGATGGTTGGAATATTCTGGAGAAGTTAGGATGTAATGCTCTATTTCTGAAAATAGAGTCTGGTGAAGTTGATGTTACAATTTGAAAACAGAGGTTGGGATAACTTCTATATGTGTATTAGAAGCTTTGTGGATGATTTGGCCAAGAAACGCACAAAAGGATTTGGAGATTGGATTCAAAAATCAGAAATGATAAGTTTTTGTGCTTGTGTTGCAATTTCTGGTTCTTGGGAGTTTTGGTGAGTTTCATGGCTTGTTCAATCCTCTTCAGCTTGCAAATGAAGGTTTAATTTATAAGCGAAGGGTTTGGAAGCTTGGAGAAGTCAGAAGTACAAAATCACATGTTATGGATTTTGACTTGTTGTTGAAGCAAGCTTAGACAAACATGGTTTCAAGGTAAGATAGGGTGGCTATAAACTTTAAACACACCTACTCTGAGTTTGTAGGGGATGCTTATGCAGAAAGAACAAACGTAAAGCTCAAGGAGAGTGGACTTTGTGATTAAAGTCACTTTTCCAGAATGGAAGTGTGAACTTTCTTCCTTAAATGGCAAGGTGTATCGGATAAAGCTTAAATCAAGTGGTTCATAGCTCAAAAGCTTGTGTAATCTTCTGATTAAGGATAGATACACACGTTAGAGGGACTGAAAAGTGGAATTACGCAACATTTCTTGGAATTGGAATCAGATGTTCATCATGAAAATGACTTATAATTTAAGAATGAATGTCCAACTTCTGATCTTCGATTCTCCCTACTCCAGCATGATCTGAAAGAGTTCTTGGACTTTTTAGAAAGCTTGTAACGTGTCGTGCAATCCCTCTTTGAATCACTTTTGCAAACTACCATTGTAACTGTATGAAAATTGACCCAGAAGTTCTGTCAAAATTCTGACTTAAAATGCCCAGAATTTTACCAAGTGTTTTAGTTTCATGGACATGTCTTCATGGATTTATAACTTGATATCCAAGCATTTCTAGAAGAAGTTATGCCCTACAATGTTTCTGACCTCATTGAGATCTACAGCTTCCATGTTGGAAGTTTTTCTTGAATCATCTTGCATCATGGTGAAAATCTGGCACAAAGTTATGAAATTATCATATTTTTCTTAACACTTGAAAATTTTTATGTGTTTAGAACTTTGACTTTTTTCAAAGTAATCTTGAATTTTGATTTCTTGATGAACAATATTCATAATTTGATATGTATTGATGAAATATGATTTTTGAAACTTAATTTTGATCCAAAAGTCAAAGTTTGACTTTTCAGTATACAACTGACTTTTTTATCAACTGACCAATTTTCAACTATCAATCAATTGATCCTGAGAAATATTTTGAACTATGCCATTAGGTCAAAATGATGCATTTGAAATCCTTGATATCATGTCTCAAACCAACAAGTCATGTGCTAGGTCAAATGTCAAAAAATGAACCTTCTCAGTCAAAACCCTAATTTTGACCATTTTGCCCTTTTTGTGATTTGATCAATTTTTTTGAGGAATTGTGATCCAAACTTGACCAATTGACATATATGAGTTCAACATGTTGGTATGAATAAAAAATTATGAAGTTTAACTGTGAATTGACCACAGTTGACTTTTTGCTCAATAAAGTTAATTTTAGGTCAACTGATCAATTAACTGAGTAAAAATATGATCCAAAGCCTGAAACTTGACACGAGCAATATTGAGAGTCTAATATAATCCATAAAAATCATATGAAGCATTAAAGATCCAATTGTCCTTATACAAACTCAAACCCTAATTTTTGAGTTATCAGTGTTTGGGGAGGTATCTTGAGTTGATCAATCCTTGTGCAGTCTTGAATCAATGGAGATCTTATGAGAGAATCTTTGAGAAATTGAGAGGTAAAATTTTGGGGTACAACACTACTGTTGAATAATTGTAATTTCATACTGCTGTAATCTGAGTTGTAATTTTTATTTATTTGTTTTAGCCAAAATTTTCCAAATAGGGACATTGTTAATATTCTATTTTTAGGATTGACATTAATTTTTGTAAAACAAACAAGACATCAATGTGTTAGGTAGAATGTATATAACTGTATAACAACAACATGTTGAGCAAGAAGTCCTATCCTATGTTTGAGACATGTTGAGTTGAAGTGTTTCAACATCTGGAACAACATGTCAGATAAGATATCCTGTGAAGGAGCATACGACATCGCGTCTGAGCTGAAGTGATTCAGTTAAATCTGTTAAGATTTAACAAAGTGTAGAATATTCAGGAAATATTATGCAATCTTATATGGCGCTGAAATAAAGGTCAAGGGAATCAAGTCAGAATATTTGAAGATTATACATTTTCTAAATATGGAGATTATTTAGGAAACTAATGATTGAAGATCTTGTTTGTAGCAGAAGTTACTGTTGGTTCGTAACAAATGATTTGTTGTTATTAGAAAGCCCAAGTCCAGTTGGGAATAGGTTATAAATAGGAGGGTTTGTAACCTAGTTTGGCACGGGTCCAAGATGTAGAAGTCTAGGGCTTTGTCAAGGTAAATCACTCGGTTTGTGGTGTCACCATATTCTCACTCAAAAACCTATAGGTAATGAGTTGAGTATTATTCTTGGAGGAATCTTTGAAGCAACTCCAAGTTGTTGTTCTTGGTTAGGCGAAAGGTTATAAACGTGTGAGTTTAACCTTGAGTCTTAGCTAGGGTTGGTCATGGAAGTGTGTCTTCCTATTTGTTCAAAATTGTGTTGATCCAATCATTGTCTGTATTAAAGAGGGTCTCATATCTAGGTGAGTCTTAGATAGAAATATATAGAGGGTAGTGATTAAGTGATAAGTTGTAAACTAGGGAGTTTAACTTTGAATTGATACTACTATTAGTGGATTTATCCTTGGCTTAGTATGCCCCCAGAGTAGGAAGGTTGTTCCGAAATGGGTAAATAATTTTGTGTTGTTATTGCATTTCAGTACTACTTTTAATGTTTATACCTTGTCTGTGTTATTTGTGTCAGATCAGATGTCTCAACATGCTCTTAGGACATCTTAGTTCTGTCGTACCAGAATTTTAGTCTTTGTGTTGAAGATGACCATGCAACATAGAAAAATCCAAGTACTTCTTTGGATTAAGAGTTTTCTTGATACATGTGCTGGACACAATTAAATCCATTTTTCTCCTCTTTGTGGTAGTGGAGAAGGACACCTTTGATTTAGCAACATTCACTTTTAGGCCAGAAAACTTGGAAAAATGATTCAAGATATAAAAAATGATCCTTGCTTGGGAGTTAGAAACCTTCGCAAAAAGAAGAACATCATCAACAAAAAATAAATACGATAGAGGGGGTCCATTACGAGATAACTTGACAGGTTTCCAATGGTCTTCATCGAACACTCTAATGATTGTCAACAACAAGAATCCCGTGTAGATTACAAAGAGATAGGGTAAAAAGGGTCACCTTGACGTAAACCTCTATTCATAATAAAATTCGGTATCCGTCTCCCATTATAAATAATAGACATGAAGGAGCTAGTTACCCAGTGCATGATCAATTTTATAATAATGAGGGAATACCTGTTTCGCTTCAAAAAAAAAATCTATGAAATCCCAATTAACATAATTATAGGCCTTTTCAAGATCTACATGATAAAGTTAATTGATTAGTGGAGGATAATTATATTATCAGTTGTCCCTTTACCGGACAAAAATTACTCTGGAAGGGTCCAACTATCTAATTTAGATAAGGACACAATATGTTAACCATATCTTCATGATTCCATGGGCATGCTACCTTAGGCATTGATGTGATAAGAGTCTCTGAAAGAAAGGGGGTGAAAGCTACATGTCACAAAAGCATTTGATATAAATTGGACAATGTCATCTCCAACTATATGCCAAAACTATTTAAAGAAAATACTTTTGAATCCATTAGGGCATGGAGCCTTGAAAGGGCGCATTTGATTCAACGCATAAGTAACTTCTTCCCTCATCACTTGTTGAGTCAAAGAGTGTTAAACTTTTTCAGAAAGGATCAGAGTCGTATTTGAGTCACCCAAATTAGTAGAGAGTGTATGGCATAAAAGACTTTTAAAAAAGTTAATACTTCTTCTTTGAAAATAGTATCATCATTGCATTGCATCAAACATCATTGAAAAGTTGAACAACAATTTGGATGTTCAAATAAAACACCTCATTTAATGTGAATGTCACATCGGAAAAAAAGATACATAGGAAGAATGAGTCAAAATCTTCTCAATATTATAGTAATGAAGAGAAAAATGGAGAGGATCTTAATGAAAGAAGAGTCAAGATCTTCTCGATTTTGTACATTTCTAAGGTTTTGGGAATATAAATGTATTAATGTGATATTTGGGGGATCAATTTATTTTTCATATACTACAAATATCATTAATACTGTAGTAATGGAGAGGAAAAATTGAGAAAGAAAATGGAGAGAATCTTAATGAAATAAGAGTCAAGATCTTTTCCATTTTGTATATTTCTAAGGGTTTGGGAATATAAATATATTAATGTGACGTTTGAGGAGCCAATTTATTTTTTATACACTATAAATATCATCAATACTATAATAACATAGAGTAAAAATGGAGAGAATCCTAATAAAAAAATAGTCAAGATTTTCTCCATTTTCATCTTTCTCTATTTTGTACCTTTCTAAGGTTTTGAAAATATAAATGTATTAATGTGAAATTTAATGGTCAATTTATTTTTCATATCATGAATACTATAGTAATGGAGAGGAAAAATAGAGAAAGAAAATGGAGAGGATGTTAATGAAAGGAATTTATAGACTGAACACTCCTTCTACTAAAATTCACTCACTACCATTCCTCCAATTTCGAGCCTCTCTCTCCGTCGCGGGCGATTCAACCATGTCGACCAACTCAGTCCGAGTCGCCACGGGCGATTCAACCATGTCCACGAACTCAGTCCGAGTCGCCGCGGTTCAAATGACTTCCATCACGGACCTCGCTGCCAATTTCACCACCTGTTCCCGTCTTGTCGAAGTATTCCAATTTCACCACCTGTTCCACCAACTCTGATTTTTCTTTTTTGTTTCGTAATTTTCATTTTCTGTTTTCGTAGGAAGCTGCATCAGCTGGAGCGAAATTGCTTTGTTTTCCTGAAGCGTTTTCCTTTGTTGGTACTAATGATGGTGATAGTGTTAGAATTGCTCAACCTTTGGATGGTCCAATTATGGATCAATACTGCTCTTTAGCCAGGTTCTAAACCTAACTAGTGTTTCTCGCTCTTTAATTACGCAATGTGAAGTCATTTTCGACTCAAACACATCACACTCACAGGTCTCACACAGGTAATAATTTTAAAAATGAATAATAAATTGAAACTAATTGACATATTTTTTCAGAAGTGTTGGTGCTATGCTAAGAAAGTTGCATTTAATTATGTGAATAAATTGTACATTTTTTTGTGGTGTGATGCAGAGAGTCGAGCATTTGGTTGTCGCTGGGAGGGTTTCAAGAAAAAGGATCTGATTCACAACACTTGTTTAATACACATGTTATTGTAGATGATACTGGCAAGATTCGAAGTACTTACAGAAAAATACACTTGTAAGACTATTATTTTTATTATCAATGTGAGTGTTCGTTTGGTGTAGTATTATTAGGCGACTTTTGTCTTTATAGATGTTCAATGTTGATATCGGTTAAAGTTTGCATTTCAAACGCAAGTAAACAGTAGGAACAAGAGATTAGAGAATATGAAGAAGCAAAATAAGGGAAGAGTTTTGCATGGGAAAGAAGGAAATTTTGAGCGGGGGTACAAGAGAAGAAGAAAGGAAAAGTATATTACTTGTATGAAACGATTAAAGCTGAAAACAGTGTTGTTAAATAGTGTCACTGGTATAGAGGAATTTGAACAATCTGCTATTGTTCTGCAAAAAGTGTTTTTGTATAAACTACTGTCATATTGAGATTAGAGGCATAGCGGCACTATAGCGCTGTGGCGTTGCAGAATTTGAACAAGCTGCTACGTGATCGGCAATTGACAACTCTGGCTGAAAAACCAAAGTACAAGTTTATCCTCAAAGCACATACAGAAGAATCCACCTGTAAACTAATATAATCAATTTGAATCCATTCCCAATGAATGTTGTTTTAGTGTAGTTTTATTGGCTTACCTGTCTTTCTAGATTTGAATGTAGAATGGGCTTATTGCTTCAAGTTTGTTTCATAAACGCAGTAAGAACAAGAGATTAGGGAATAGGAAGAAGCAAAGTAAGGGGGTAATTTTGCATGAGAAAGAAGGATAATTCGAGCGGGGTTAGGAGCCCTCAAACATCAATCAAAACAGATTCATTATCCCTTGATAAAAGCTATAAAATGGCACCAATTTAATCGGTTCAATTAGAAACCATTATTATTTATCCAAAAAGCAAACCCTGATTTAATTAAGCTAAAGCGATAACAATTAACAAATACTACCGATATTGTGGTGCCTATTGACTTGTTTATCAGCGCCTTGAAACAACTTATGCCAGATGTTCCTCCAGAAATCTGTAACCTACTTCTTTCTGTTTGTCTTGTTATGGTTTTATTAACAACTGTCATTTGATATAATTTCACTTTATTATATTTGAAGGTTTGATGTAGATGTTCCTGGTGGAAGGGTGTATAAAGAAAGTAGTTTTACAGAATCTGGTAAGATATTTACTCTTAACATATTATTAAAGCTAAACTAGTCTTTTTCTTGCTTTAGCCATAACCGAAACTTCTCAGTTTCATCTAATCATTTTTCCCTTCCGAAATTGAAACTTAACTAAATATCCATTTTATATGAAGAATATTGTTTTCATATCTACCACCTTGGTGATGTTTTCAGGCAAGCATGTTGTTGCCGTAGACAGTCCCATTGGGCGTTTGGGCCTTAGTGTTTGCTATGATTTGAGATTTCCAGATATTTACCAGTTGTTACGTTTCCAACATGGAGCGCAGGTATTAAAATACATTATTTCTTTTTTGCTCAAACTATGCCGTGTAGGATTGAAAATTTACTTAACTTTTGCAATATCCAGATATTGTTGGTGCCTTCAGCATTCACTAAATTGACTGGTGAAGCACATTGGGAAATTCTTCTTCGTGCTCGTGCAATCGAGAATCAATGCTATGTAAGATTATGCAAATGGTTCAACTCCCCCCACCAACATTTCTAACAACTAATTAATATTCAGAAAAATATATATGAGTGATTTGATGAATGGCTTATCAGGTCATAGCTGCTGCACAAGCTGGCGCACACAATCACAAAAGAGAAAGCTATGGCGACACATTAATTATCGATCCATGGGGAACCGTTGTTGGTCGCTTACCAGGTAAGAAACTTGATACTTATCACATTCTTCGAACTAACTCTATTGAAAAAATAAGAAGTGCGCTAATCATTATTTTCTGTTTCAGATCGTTCGTCTACGGGAATTGTGGTAGCTGATATTGATCTGTCATTAGTTGATTCAGTAAGAGAGAAGATGCCTATTGCTGAGGTAATTGTTTGAAAAAACTATGTGATGAGCATTTCTATTCTTATTATTAATAGTATTAATTTATTGAAGCAATAGTGCTTTTAACTCATATTGACTTATTTTATTGATGCATAAATCTGTTGCTTTTGGTTTCAGCAAAGGAAGTCATTTCAGTTCTGGAAAGCTGCAGCTCTGTAGTAATTATTTAGACCAGAGGGGTATAATTTTTTTTTAAATATGGGACTTTATGTACCAAAATAAAAATATGGACCTTCTTTATTTGATTATTCCGAGGATGTTGTCTACAATGTTTTATGTATATTAAGATTATTACAGTTCATGGAAACATACGTTGTCTTTTATCTACAAGTCAATTGTGCATGTTCCATTTAAAGGGTGTTTACAAGTTATACTGCATGAACTATTGTTATTTTCAATAAATTGAGGTTAGTTTGATTGGAATATTGTATACTTAGTATCATAAAATTTGTTGGCACGAGTATTTGTAAAATAATTGATTAATAACTAAAAAAATCAATACTTTAATTACAACATGTACTTTGAGGGAGCTTACTTGTTAGTTTTTAGAAATGTAGGCACTAAAAATTATAAGAAAATAAATTCTACTTACAAACTACATGATGTCTCCATTCTTTATTGTAACAAAATTTTGACTTTTTAAAGTATATTGAAAATTTGAGTTTTGTTGAATGTAAAAAGAAATAAAAAATTTCCTTTTTTTGAAATTAGGCCCCTCAAAGCTCCAAGAGATAATGGCTATCCAGACTTTTTTCAAATCGCGATGAGACACTGTTATAGAATCTCTTTACTAGTATGTGAGTAAGTCTTGGTCTAATACTTCTCTCATTTCTTCTGTTAACAACACTATGCATTTGATCATTCCAAATGTGGACGAACTAGAGTTTTTGTCTCAATTTTTGTCTCTAAAATTAGATTTATTTTTATTTTTCGTTCTTCTAAAAAATTTTGTTAAAAAATCGTCTTTATAAAGTTAGGAATTTTAACTTTTGATTATTTCTATTAAAATTGTCGCTAATATTGTTATTAAGTAGTAAACTGTCGTTAATTCAGTAGTTAAATTGTAAATATCGTCGCTAAGTTATAGGAGAGATCAAAAGTTAAAATTCTTAACTTTAGAATGACGATTTTATAACGAAATTTTTTTAAATGACGAAAAGTGAAAATATCAAACTTTTAAGAGACTTTAAACATATCTAACCTTAGAATACAACATTTTCTTTAGTGCTTAATTTATCCTTATCAATCAAGGTTTATACATGGACATACCATCCATCATATTATTGTTACTCAAGGCTGTTTTTGTTTTAAGGTTGTAAAAAATATTCTAAGGAATATGGTCATGAGAATGCAATATTCTCATGTTTAATTCAAGTTTAAAAAAATTATTCCAAGACATATTTCATTCCCAAGAATCTTATTTACACATGATTTTTCTATTTTTATTTTCATGGTTAAAGGGTGTGAATCCAACGAAATAAATCCAACTACCACTAACTTCCCACTTCTACTCACAAATTATTACTATTTTTATTTTTCATAATTTTTAAATTAAACAAATTTGTAAACATTTCTAGGAAAGTTTATTTTTATCCAAACATATAAGTTGGAATATTATTCCAAAAAATATGAATCTAAGGAAAATAATTCCAAAAAATATAAGTTAATAACTTGAAACAAACACACCTCAAAAAATGGTCCGCTTCATGGCTAAGATCATAGGTAAAACAATGTTTTTGTCCATAAGATTGATCTTGAAAAAATCTTATGACTATTTTAACTAGAACTTTGTTAAAGAGTGTCTAGTGGACAAGAACTTAACTTCCTTTGTAACCTTATAAGTATTGTAAAGCAATGTATCTCTATACATTTTAAAATTTTATGGAATAGTGACAAAACTGATTCTCTCACTCCCACTTGAGGATCGTTAATTATAACAGTCTGATTTAATTAGAATTATTTTTAATTAAATAATAAGATAATTCGGTGAAATTATATGATTTGATCGATTTTATGATGTAGTATGACGGCTTGTTGGGGACTAGATTCTTTAGAATTATAAAAGTTGAGGTTATGGGAGTATTTGGCTAAATGTGTAGAGACATGGGGGTGTGTAGTGTAATATGAATTATTACTATTATTATTATTATATTATTATTATTATTATTATTATTATTATTATTATTATTTTATAATAATAATTTAATTAGTATAGTTATATTATTATTTGATTATAAGAGGTGAGAATAGAGAGAATAGAGTTTGAACGTGAAAAACAGAAGAGAAGCGTAGAAGTGAGAAGAGAAGAATGAAGAGAAGAGCATATAAGTTAGGACGGAGAATCTCTGGTAGAGAGCTTATAATCGTCAAACCTAAGGTAATGGTGGGGTTCTGATTCTCTAATAGGTGGTATAATTGTGAGTAGATGAAGGTTTGAATGTAGGGTTTTAGGCGTAGATTAATTGTTAAATTGTTGTTACAATTGTTTGTGATTGATGAAATTGATGTATCGTTTGCGTTAGAATTGTGGTATATGATGTGCGTTGACGACTTGAAATAATATATGTGTTTGATCTTTCATAAAAAGAGGTTTTTTAGTGAAGAAAATGAGATTTCGTAGTAGAAAAATTAAATTTTTGGGTCTGTTTGCGATGGGTAATCGGTTACCATATGTGGATAACAGGTTATCGCTGTTGTGTTTTGAAAATAATAGGTCACTGTCTTGCATTAATCGGTTACCATAACTGGGTAACCGGTTATCACTGTTATTGACGTCATTTTTTAAAAACTTTGAAAAATCATAACTTTTGTCTCGGGTGTCCGTTTTACGCACCGTTTGGACCGTTGAAAAGCTAAAAAAAATTTCTACAATATGATAATAATTTTGATAGCAGTAGGTGAATTATTTTTGGGTTGAAGTCTTGTGACTTGGGTGTCAGTGTCAGTTGTTGTAGATTAATTGGGATGGTTCTATTTTAATGATGAATCGTTGTAGTCGTGAAATTAATCATGATAATTTTGGTGTCAATGTAATGTGATATTTTCTATCTTATGATGATTATCTTGGTAAAGGCTTATGTCCTGTGTGTTAATGTTATATGAAGTGTGATGCATATTGTTGTGATTAAACGTGATGGTGTTGTACGAAAGATGTATGAATGTACTGCATAATATATTGCAATATGGAAAAGACGTTGTTGTTGGCATGTAATTGGAGAAATTGTGATGAGTAAGAATAATATAAGAAGGTTTCGTCGCCATCAGTCCAACCACTTGCTCCAGAGGTGAAATTGGCAGAACGTAATGGAGTTGCAGGTACCAAAGATAGCAAGGAGAAATCTGAGGAAAGTGTTGAAGAGGAACTGATTTCGAAAACCCTAGAAGTTAATCCTTTAATGGTCATGGAGAACAACACAAGCAATGAACTAGAGAGTCAGGGAAGAAATTATGGGTTGATATCATTAGTGGAAACCGCATCCCTGTTAATGGTATGGCGATTGAATTATGTGCTCCCAAAATTGTGAAGGGTGAAATTGAAGTTGAGATTGAAGAAATTAATGAGAAATATGAAGTCGAGTTCATGGAATCATCGCTTTTTATGTATGCTCTAGATAATGATTTGGGCATGAATACGATAAAACACTATATGATGAGAGCTTGGAACTTCGTCCAGTTACTTGAATTGTTCTACCATGAAGAGGGATATTTCTTGATGAAACCTAGGTCATTCAAAGCCAAGGATTTGTTTCTTACACGGGGGCCATACACAATATAGAATACGCCTATGATCTTAAAGGAATTGAGCCCTACGTTAAATTTCAAAAGGGACGTGATCTGTACAGTTCCAGTGTGAGTGAAACTCTCTAACCTCCCATTGTACCTCTGGGGATCCAAAAGTTGGGAAAGATAAGAAGCACCCTGAGGAAGCCATTATTCACAGATGAATGCACAACCAACAAATTAAGGGTGTCCTATGCTCGTATCCTGGTAGAGATTTATGTAACCCATAAGCAAAAGGAAATAATTATAATCAAGTATATTGATGGAAGGAAGCTCAAACAATACATCGAATATGAATGGAAACCTAGATATTGTGATATATGTCAGAAAGTTAGTCATTAGTGCACTAAGGAGAATTCAAAAATTGTCAAATAATGGTGTGCTAAAGAAGAACAACCAACTACTCTTATGATGAGGAAAATAAGATACCTTCACCTCTAGATGAGCCAACTATTCCATCATGGACATAAGCAACAAATAACAGGAAGAATAAAGGCAAAATGGTGATGCGGGAAAACAAGATTAATGAGGAGAAAATACCTTGTCATAATGGATTTGAACCACTAAGGATTTGGAATGATCCATTAGTGGCCAATGTCATAGGATAATGATGATAGCATGGAACGTTAGGGAGATTAATAATGTGAGAAAGTGCATAAAGATTGGATCTCATCTCAATAGTATGAATTCATACATAGCTATTCTTTTGGAAACTTGAGTTAAGTATTCTAAATCAGATATTGTTAGAAATTAATTAGGTCATAGATGGTCTATTTTTTATAATTATTCAGAGCATGATAATGGTAGGATTTGGATCCTTTGAGATAAGCCTAAAATAAAGGTTTTTTGTAGTTCATGCACTACACAATTTGTGCATTATGGAGTTTATTCTTTAGATGAAGTGTTTAAGGCTTGGTGTTATCTATGTTTTTCATATCATGGAGAATATGAAAATTTTATGGAAAGATATTGAACAAATTCGTTCCCAAGTAAATGGTGTTTGGTTCTTGAGGGGTATTTTAACAACGTTCTTCAAATTCTAGACAAAACTAGGGGCAATGTTGTTCATGAGGTTGAATATATTGATCTAGTCGATATGATGGAGAAAACTGTATTATTTGCTAAAGAGAGCAATGGTGATTAATTTACCTGGCCCAACAAGCAGACACATGGTGCTATATACTCTAGAATTTATAGGGTGATAGCCAACCCAAAGTGGCATCAGCAGAATGTTAACACAACATTGTTTATGATGGAGCCTAGTGTATCAAACTATGCTCTTATTTGTTTACAAGGGCACGAACAAAGGAATATCATGAGGAGCTACTTTAAATTCCAAAATATTGTTACTCCAACTGAAGGTTTCCTAGATTCAAGGA